AAATTGTGTAAATATATTAGATGCTAAATGTAGTTTCTCTACACTATTTTCACTATTGAAAATTTTCAATGATGTAGATCTTGCCCATACGAATATTAATATACCTAACAAAATCATTAAAGATCCATTTATTGTTATTATTAACATAAATACAGAGTCTGTTTCTAATTAATGTATTGTTGATACAAATGCTAAAGGAATATTTATTAATATAAATATTATTGATAGAATTTTCATTGATGATAGAATATATTATTTCTCTTCATTATTAAAAGCTTCTCCTTTAAAGTTTTTTAATTGTAAATCTACTGCAGTTTGCGAATTTTAAAAGTATGTTGCATTATGCATATATGATTCTGATTATATCATTTTTTTTTAATTTTTAATATTTATTAAAATTTTATTTTGTTGTAAGTTTTTTTTTTTAAATAATAAAAAAAATATTTTCTTAAATAAAAAAATATATATTTATATATATATATTTAAATTATATAATTTAATCTTGCTTTTTTTTTATTTTTTTTTAAATAAAAAAATAGATTTATTTGTTATTTTTAATTAATAAAAAAAATGCGAATAAATAAACTTTTTCATTATACAATATATATATATACTTTTTTTTTCTTTTTTTATAAACAACTTCTTAATTTATTTTTTTATTAATAATTAAAAAAAAATATTAATGTATTTTTATATTATATGTAATTTAAGAATAATAATTTATACAATTTTATTTTTTAATCTTAATAATTATTTAAGTATAATTTTTTTTTTATCAGAATTCTAACTATTTTATGATAATATATAAAATATTTAAAAAAATAATAATTAAATCAATAAAAAACTTATAAAAATAATAAAAAAAACTAAAATAGTCATTAAATATATTTAAAATATTTTTATAATTTATCCTTAATTAATTAAAAAATCTTAATTTTTTTTTTTTTTTTAAAAAATGTTAAATTTTATAAAATCCGAAAAGCTTGAGCTTTATTAATTATTTTTTTGTCAAGAATCCAGTTTTTAAATAATGACCTTATTAGCAAATTAAGAATGTATAAATTTAATAAATATGGATTAAAAAACTCCTTATTTTTAGCGACCATACTAATAGTAAATAACAAGATGCAACAAACTTATTAAAAAACTAAAAACAATTGAAAACTATATAAATAAATCTGATATAATTCAAATATAAGAATATAAAAATTAAAAATACACCAAAAACTAAATTCCATTACTCGAAATAGAAGAAAGCCTTGAAAAAATCGAACAAAACATAAATTAATATAAAGAATCTTTATAAAAAATTGACGAAAATAACCTTTTATTAGAACAATAAAATGTATTTATTGACTTATTAATGGACTAAATATTTTATTTACAAAAAAAAACAATTACAAATACAGAATTTTATTTTCAAACAATATGCGGATCTATTGTAAGTACACAAGAACATTTATTATAAAAATTATATTTCCGAATAACTAAAGGCAATGGAATATTTCTAGCAAAAAAGCAAGGAAATTATTCCTATTTTTACCTCTTCTTTTTCAAATCAGTCCTTATCTAATAAAAAATCAACAAAGTCCTCTCTATATACCAAGCTAATATATTCAATATTCCCCTCTACGATATATACGAGGTCGAAAGGATTAAAAAAGAAAACCTCTAGCAACTAAAGAAAAACAACAAACTAAAATTTCTCCTAAACCAAACCCTAAAAGACCTATATATAAGTATAAGTTAACAAAAAAGTAAATAAAGTCTTATATAGACCTATAAAGAGAACTTAAACGACTAAAAAATATTATTTTAGGCTCTAAATATGACCAAATAAATCCAAAACATAAACAAAGCATTATTATGGTTGCCTAAATCTAAAGAAGATTAAATTTTAGAATAATTAAAAAGCCAGAAAATATCTTATGTGCAATTATTTTTAGTCCCATAACATGAATATGATAATTTTAAAGTCAAAAAAATACCCACGAAAATTCAAATAAATAACTTTACCAAAATTTTTCAAGAAATTGTTAATTTATATGGAATTCCTGCTTATAATGAGATAAATCCTGCTATTTTTTATATTGTTTTTTTTCCTTTTTTTTCGGAATCATGTTCGGAGATATTTTCCATGGAATAATTTTGATTTTTTTCGCTTTTTTTTTAGAAAAAACATTCACAGTTTTTAAATAAATTAAATATTTAGTGCTTTTAATGGGATTATTTTCAACTTTTTGTGGTTTTATATATAATGATTTTGGCGGAATAAGCCTAAATCTATTTGATTCTTGTTTTTTTAAAGAAAAGGATTGCCCATATAAGTTCGGAATAGATCCAAAATGGGGAATTTCTGATAATAAAATGTAATTTATGAACTCATATAAGATGAAAATGTCCATATTATTCGGTTTTTTCCATATCCAACTCGGATTACTACTTAAAGGATTCAATAAGTTATTTATATAATAAGATTTTGCCACATTTATCTTCGAATTTATCCCATAAATAATTTTCGTGAACTCATTTTATGGTTTTTTGGTACTTTTAATTATTTAAAAGTGGAATATTTAATTTTTATAAGAAAATACATCTGCACCTTCTATAATTTAAATTATGTTAAATTTTGGACTTGATGAAAAAAACTTATTCTATAAATAATTTATGGGGACAAAAAATGATATTTTTTATCTTTTTTTTTTACCTATTTTTTGCTGTTTTTCTTTACTTTTGGCAAAGCCTTCTTTCCTATATTTAAAATCTCTTCAAAAAAAAAACTTAAATAATTAATATGTTCTTATTTAACATAATATATAGTATCCACAAGAAGAAGATTTTTCCGAAGTTTTCATTCATTAATTAATTTTTACAATTGAGTTTGTACTCGGCAGTTTCTCGAATTTAGCTAGTTATTTAAGATTATGGGCTTTAAGTCTAGCTCATTAAAAATTAGCAGAAATATTTTTCGAGAAAATACTTTTAACTTAAATTTAAAGCAATAATATTCTATATATAATAATCGGATTTTTCTTTTTTGCAGTTCTTAGTTTCGCAATTTTGATATGTATTGATGCATTCGAATGCTTTTTGCATAGTATAAGGTTACATTGGGTAGAATTTTAAAGTAAATTTTATTAAGGAGATGGAATTTTATTTTAATATTTTAGTTTTGATAAAGATACTTTAATTTGAATATTATATTTTTGTTTAATAATTTTGAGTTTGAATGATAAATTTTATATTTTAATAAAGTTTTATTATTAATAAAATTTAAATTTATATTATATATAAAAAAGTTTGATTAATATTTATTTTATGATTATATATTAAAATTAAAAGTTTGTATTATTATTATAAATAAAAAATATATAAAATTTTTTGATAGAATATAATTGGATGAAGGAATGAAAGATTTTCAATTAATAAAAATTTAAAGTTAAATGTAAATATTTAAAAATTAATTAGAATATTAAATATATATATATATATATATATATAAATTTATTTTATTTACATATATATATTTTAAAAAAGTTCTAATATTAATTTTATACAATTTTTTAAATTTATTATTTCTATTATTTTTTTTATTTTTTTTTTCTTATTATATACAATATTATTATAATTGTATTTCAATTAATAATATTAAAATTATAATATCATATTTAAATAATATAATAAAAAATAAATGTTAACTAATAATTTTTATTAAATTCAATATTTACCTTATATCTTTAGCATACAAAATATTAATTATTTATTCTTAAAATTAATTAATTATAAATAAAATTTTAATTAACTTAAAATATAGCTAAGAAAAAAGATAAATAAATATTTATTATTATATAAATAAATAATATTTAAATACAATTTTGTAAATATATTTTAGTAATAAATTAACTTTAATGTTTTAAATCTTATTATATTATTTATCTTCTATGTTATCTAATATTATATTAGAAATTATTTTTTATTTTTAACTTTAAACTTAAATTAATAATAAAAAAGTTACATTAGATAATATATAATTATAAAAGTATATAATTAAATTTGAAGCTATAATATTAAAAAAAAATCTTTTAATTTATAATTAATATTAAATAATAAGTATTTAATTTGATTATATAAATTATTCATATAAAAAAACATTGTATTTGTTTCTAAAAGAATTCATTATATAGAAATTTTTATTTTCAAAACATCAATATTTTAAATTAATTATAAAATATTTAGAAAAAATAATAATATATAACTAAAAAATGTATATTTTTAATTAAATTCAATAACATATATTTTATTTTTATCAATTCTTTTAATTTTTTTTATTGCTAATCTTCATTATTAATATTTATTTTATAAAAATTAATAAGGAAATTAATATCTAAATAAATAAAAGCAATTATAATAATCTTTATTATTAATGAATAAAATAATAATAATATATTTTTTTACTTATTATATTTTATTTTATTATAATATATTATATTATATTTTTTTATTTAATTTAATTAAATTTAAATTTATATTAATATTAATTTTTTTTTCATGTAAATAAAAATGATATATTGAAATAGTTTATATTTTATATTAAAAATATTAAAATTATATATGATTTCTATATATATTATTATATAATAATTTATAATTTTTAAATTTAATTTTTTTTTGTAATATTTAATAAAAATATAAAAGAGAAAAATTATCTTATTAAATTATACTTCTTTTTAAATACTATATTTGTATTTATTTTTATTTTTTGTGTATTAATTAAAGATATTGTTTTTTTAAATTAAATTTAAAAAATTAATTTATTATATTTAATCAAAAAAAAAATTAAAAAGAAATATTATAAAATTATAAATTAAAATTAAAAAGCAAGTGAAAAAAAGTGCGCACTTCAAAAACAATACAAAATAAATTAAAATATTAAATTCGCATTTAAATTCTAAATTAATTATGCTATATATATTATAAATATAAAAAAATTAAAAAAATAAAATAAATAAATAATAAAAATACAAAAATAACAAATAACAAATAAAAATTAAAAAAAATGATAGTAAACTCATAAAATGTAGTCTATTCTGAAGACTAAATTACCGCAACCTATGAATATCGTCATTAAAATGTTGAAAAACAATAAGATGGAAAGATCATTATCACTCCCAAAACAACATCCTACACTTTTAAAACAAATACAAAGGTACCTAAACTTGGCATATTGTTAGTCGGATGGGGTGGTAACAACGGAACCACATTCACTGCCGGAATTCTCGCTAATAAAAATAAATTATCTTGGTAAAACAAAAGAGGTGAATAAACTGCTAATTACTATGGTTCTATTACTTAATCTTCAACCATAAAAGTCGGATGTAATGGATCTGAAGAAGTATTTTTACCCATGAAAGATATTCTCCCATTAGTAAATCCTGATGATGTAATAATTGGAGGTTGGGATATTAACGAAATGAACTTATCCGATGCCATGAGAAGGGCTTAAGTTTTAGACTATAACTTAATAGAAAAAGTATCCCCTTACATGTAAGATTTAGTGCCTATGAAATCTGTTTATTATGAAGATTTCATTGCTGCAAATCAAAAAGATAGAGCCACTAATATATTAGAAGGAAACGATAAATAAAAACACTTAGAAACTATAAGAAAGGACATCAGAGAATTTAAAGAAAAGAATAAATGCGAAAAAGTAATTGTTTTATGGACAGCAAATACAGAAAGATTTTGTGAAATCAAGACTGGAGTGCATGATACTGCCGAAAACGTCCTTAAAGCCATCGAAAATTCCGATCCTGAAATCTCTGCCTCTACCATATATGCTGTGGCCTCTCTCTTAGAAGGATCTAGCTATATTAACGGTTCTCCCTAAAACACTTTAGTTCCTGGAGTTATTTAACTTGCTAAAATGTAAGACGTATTCATCGTTGGAGACGACTTCAAATCCGGCTAAACCAAAATGAAAACTTCCCTCACCGATTTTTTAGTAACTGCCGGAATCAAACCTATGTCTATTGTTTCATATAATCATTTAGGTAACAACGACGGAAAAAACTTAGCCTCCGAAAGATAATTCAAATCTAAAGAATTGAGCAAAAAATCATGTGTAGATGACATTTTAGCATCCAACAAAGTCCTATATCCCAAAACTCATAAAATTGACCACGAAATAGTCATTAAATATGTCCCATATACCGGAGATTCTAAGAAAGCTATGGATGAATACATCAGTGAAATTTTCTTAGGAGGATAAAATACTATTGTAATGTACAATGTTTGCGAAGATTCACTTTTAGCAGCTCCTATTATTTTAGATTTAATACTTCTAACTGAATTATTTGAAAGAATTGATTATTAAGTTGATGGAATGAGAAACTTCTCTAGATTTAATAGAGTTTTATCCACTCTTGGGTATTTGTGTAAAGCTCCTCTTACTGATTAGGATACACCTCATATTAACTCTCTCTTTAGATAAAAAACTGGATTAGATAATATTTTTAGAGCTTGTGCAGGATTATAACCTGATGATAATACTTTACTTGAATTTAAATGTCCAGTTGTTTGAAGGAAATTTTCGCATATATATTTTACTAAATTTTGTTATTATTTTCAAAAATATTAATAATAATTTAATTATACATGTTAAATAATATTTGTGTTTTGTATTTATTTGTATTTAATTAATTAGAAACTATTTTTTCTATTTTTTTATTATAAATATTTTACATTATTAATATAAAACATAAAACAGTTTTTTCAAAAAAAAAGATTAAACTATAGTCTTATAATCTATATTCCATTAATAGAAGGGCGAATTTTTTATTTTTTTTAAAATAATGTTAATTTTTATTGGAAATTAATCTCAAAATAGTAATTTTTTTTAGAAATATATTCTTAAGTATTTAAAGAATATTAATAGTAATCAAAAAAAAAAATTCAATATTTTGATTTGAAAAGAGATTTTAAATTAAATGAATAGAAAAGCAACATAAATAAAATTATAAATTCATTAAAAGTCAAAACTAAATATGAATATTTTATTTAAATTTAATAATAAACAGAAGAGCAAATCATGTTTCTAGATATATAAAATAAAAATTAAAAAATATTAAAAATTAAAAAAAAAAAATTGGAAATATTAAAAAGTGAATAAAAATAAAAAAAATTAAAGTTAAAAATATAAAAAAAAAAAAAAAAAAAAACAATAAAATTCTCCTTTATAGCTTATAGAAAATAAACTAAATTAAATAAATATATTTAAATAATTATAAAGTATTTTCCATATTAAAACTAAATATTTTTCTAAGTTTAAACTTTTAAATATTTTTCAAATATATAAAAATCATTATATAAAATAATAAATATAATAAAAATAATCAGAATAATATTTAGTTTTTAGTAAATATATAAATAAAAAGATTATGAAATGTTTAATAAAAAGTATATTCTTTTTTAAAAATCCTTCAAATATAAAATTCATATAATAGAGAAAATTTGTAAATATATTTATTATTTTTTGAAGGAGATAGAAATGACATTTTTTTTTAAATAAAATACATATAATATTTAAGAAGATTTTGAAAAACCAAAAAAAAAATTTAAAAAAAAATTAAATAAAAAAATAAAAAATAAATTATTTAAAATAAAAAAAACCAAAACAAAAAAAATGTATTAAATAAATAATGCATTCCATAATACTGAGAATGATTCTGATTCATGTATAGAATCAAAAAGTTTACACAACTACAATCACAACCTAAAAAAAGTTAAAATCCAATTCAAAATTAACTAATAAATCGATAATCATTCAATAATAAAACAAATGAAGATTTATAAAAAATAATTGAAAAAATCCCTATTCCAATTAATGATTTATCAATAACCGTTTAAACATCTTCTCCAAAATAATAGCAAGTAAATATAAATAAAATAAATAAATAATATAATATACATATAGAACTAATATTAAGAAGAAGAAAATTTTTCTTATTAATAAAATACATAAAATAAATCAAATTAAACCATAAATCTTAAATAAAGTGAAGATTTTTCAATAAAAAATTAACTTCAATAGACTCAAAATGAAAAGAATAATCTCTAATAAACTCTAGAATAACTACTTAAATAATTTTAAATTGAAAAAATGTATTTTTGTTAATAATTAGACGATTTAAATTCTTATATTTAGCTTCTTTAAGCTAAACATAAAGATAATACAAGTTTAAAATCATTAAGAGGCAAAGAATTATCAAAAGAAAAAGAAAAGAATTAAAAATTATAACTACAATTATCAAACCAAAATCTAATAATAGATGATTTGAAAAATTAAATTAACCGAATGAATGAGTTTTAACAATAATTGCAAGAACAATGTATTGAAAATTAATATTTAAGAGAAGAAAATACACAATTATAAGAAAAAATAATATAATTATGTTAAGAAATGAACTAAGTATAAGAAGATTTTCAAGTACATGTATAGGAAATAGAAAAGGAAAAAAGTGAAATCCTCTTTATTAAAACATTTAATATTTTCAAAGAAATAGTTCCTTTAAAAATTCCTGAAAAAAATGAAAAAAAAGACATTTTTTTTATTTTAAAATAAATAAAATTAACGTATATATTAAACTAATATTTATTTTTTATTTATAAATATATATATACAAAAAAAAGATTAATAAATAATAATAATAACAACAATAATAATAATAATAATGAATGTTTTATTAATAATAATTTAAACGATGAAAATATATCCCAAAACTAACTAAAAAAAGAAATTTAAGAAAAGGGTTTCCTAAAAATCGAAAATGATCATTTAATAGTACAAATAGAAAAAAAAGCTAAAGAAATTCTCCAAAAAGATAAAGAAATATAAGAACTATAAAAAGAAAACTAACAACTACTTGATAATATAAACTAATTAAAAATAAACTATGAAAAACTTTAGGCAAAATTTAACCTAAGTTCAAAAGAACTCAATTATAAATAAAAAGAACTTAAAGAATAAGCATAAAATTCACGTATTTTATCCAAAACTAATCGTAATTTGAGTGAAACAAACTTCCAATTTTCTAGCAATATTCAAAATTTAAATGATTAAATGTAATAATAATTATAATTAAATTCATAATAATAATCACCAATTTATCATAATAAAGCAAAATCATGTTCAAATATAAATAAATTTTAAACAAAATAATAAAAGAAAAATACTTCATTAAATAGTTCAAGTTCATAATAAAATATAGCAAAAATTACAAGCCTAAAGTTATTTAAAAATAATTATTTTCCACAATAATAAATTATTAATAATAATGTAAGTAACTCATAATTAAGTTTAAATTCTTATAAAAACGAGTAAAATAATATAAATAAAAATAGTAATTTAATGAATAATAATAATAATAAAAATATAAATTTATTAATGAATATTAATAATAATATTACAAACGAAACTGATAATTCAAGCAGTAAAAATTATACATTTAATAATAATAATAATAATAATAATAATAATAATAATAAATATAAAAACAATACTAATATTAACTTAAATAACAAAAAATATTTATAATAACAATATTAGCAATAATAATTATAATAATAATAATATTAACAATAATATTATTAATAATATAAACAATGATAACAATGATTTAAATAAATATAACAATATCAATAATAATAATAATAAAAATAATAACAATAATAGTATTATTAAAAATAATAACAATAATAGCAATAGTAATATTATCAACAATGATAAATATAACAACAATGATAACAATAATACTAATAATAAATATTATAAAAATAATGACTATTATAACTATGATATTTTTAATAATACAGCATATACTAATAATAATAATATAGATATTTGTAATAATATAAATAATAGTATAAAAACATCTTAAAAATGTATGAATTCACTTATAAACTCAGATTAAGATATAATAGAAATGACAATAAAATTATAAAACGTTTATTAGTAAATTGAATCTTACGAAAATGAATTTAAAGAAATAAAAGAATCTTTTATGGAAAAATAATATGACACAAATAAAAAATACTGGAACTTAAAATTAAAAACAAAATATTAGAAAGAGATAAAATAAACCTCATAAATATGAATAAAAAAGACTTATAAGAAATATCGATTTAATTTGAAAGAAAAAGATAACTTCTTTTAGCTTAAATTCAGTAGTAATAAAATACTCAAAAATTTTTGAATTTTATACCCCCCGAAATGCTTTCTTAAGAATAAACTTTAAATTTTCTTTAAGATATGCTTACTGAAGTATCTAAAAGTTAAGAAATGACTAAAGTTATAAATTCTTCATATATGTTCTAACAACTTTTATATTCGCTTTTTGTTAATAATTCTGATTATAATTAAAATATGATTTCTTAATAAAGTTAATTTTAGAATTAAAATAATCATATTCTTTCGAATATTTAAAATTAAGTGAAATATAATGATTAAAATTAAATGAAATATTACGATTAAAATTCTTCAAATTAAAAATAAATAATTAAAAATTAGTATAATATACATAATTAATCTTAAAATTTGTTAAAGAAAAAAATGCAATCATAAAATGTCTTTGCACAAAGTTATCATTTTTAAAAAGGAAATAATTCAACATCTTCAGATGTTAGACATAATTAAAATATTTATTTATCGTTAGATTAAAATAATTTTATTTGATATTAATATTTTTCTATTTATTTTTAAAATTTTTCTTTTTTATTTTATTTTTTAATTTAAACGTTTGAAAATATAATATTATTATAAACTTTATTTTTAAATATATAAAATTTTTATTAATTAATTGAAATAAAGATAAATATAAATTCAATTTAAATAAGATTTTTTTTTTTTTTAATTTATTTCAACTTTAAATAATAAATAAATTATTTTCTTATTTTATTTTCTATTATATTTTAGGATATAAATTATAAATTGAAATTTCATATGACTTTAATATTCTTTTGAATATTTAATAATAATTTTAATACTAATATATATATATATATATTAAAAAAAATGCTAATATATAATAATTTTATTTTATTTATATAATCTTTAATTACATAAAATAAATAAAAAATTATGGTAAATTTTTAATAAAATATTATTTTAGTTTAATAAATAATTAATATATTTATTTTTAATTTATAAAAAAAAAAAAAAAAAATTTAAAAAATAAAAATATTTTTAATTTATTATAAATTATAAAAATAAAAATAAATAGAAAAATATAAAATAATAACAAGTATCAACTTATTTTTTATTAAAAATAAAAAAGCTAATGCAAATAATATCTTTAATAATATTAATATTATTTATATTGCTCTTAATACCATCAATACTAAGATATTTAGTCAATAAAAAAATATTTTATTTTGATTTTTAATTTGCATCATTAAATAACCTAAAAAACATTTTGATAATTTTCGATTGTTAGCTAAACTATAATATAAATAAGGTTTTTTAAAAATACCGAGTATTAAAGTAACAATATAAAAATAAAAGCTAATAATAATAATTAATGAAATTCAAACTTATTTATAAATAAAAGTAATTTTTTATATTTAAATATAATTTTTTAAATTTTAATAATAATTACTTTATAAAATACAGAAAAATGAAATTTGTATATTTGAAAATAATAATTATGATAGCAATAATATTATTTTTGAAAATTT